CGATGTATTGCATAAATACAGCAAACGACACAAAACTAGCAAAAATAACGTAATCAACCTGTATATATACGATTTTATTTTATCGAACATTTTTTAATAGTAATTAGTTAGATTTTCATATTTGAAATATGAAAATTAGAGTTATTTAGTTAATTAATATAATATATGATTTAAAAACGTGTCAGCTAGAGAAATAATGTTCGATTTGATAAAAAGAATAAAATAAAATTTGTTTATTGAAAATTTAGATGATATTGTTGAACGTTTAAATCAATGTGAATATTTATTTAATAGCCAATATGATTTAATAGAAAATGTTAATAAAATAAATCGAAAAGAAAATCCATCTCGATCATGTAAATCACATTTTGATTTATCATTAAAATTATTTTATTATACTATTGAAAATATCTTAACTATTGAAAAAAAAACCAGATTAATTTCAAATGAATTTAATTCACAACAAATTCAACAATCATTTCAATAAACGATTTTTCTTTTAAATGGATAAATAAATAAATAAATAAATGGATTTATTTTAGTAAATTAATATTAAATAATTATTAGTATTATATGCTCATTCGGATAAATATCATGATTTTAATTGGATATTACATGTTTATTCCTTTTTAAAAATCATACAAATTTTTTTTTAAAAACTTGTACACAAATAAGTAAATCAAAATCATTTATTAAATATTTATCATCAATGACTTTTTCAACAAAATCCTCATTATGGAATGATATTGAATTAAAAGGTATTTTATCATATAAAACAATATCATCACTTCAATCACCAAATAAAACAAATGTATCAAGAAAATTATTTCAATCGAATACAACAGATCAATTAATAGTAAGATTTATTATTTGATTTATTTAATACAACATTATACATATCAATGAATATGATTTATTTTAATTGAAAAAAAAATTGTTTCCAAATTTTCATTAATGAAAATTTTTACTTTGGAAGAATTTTGTTCATAAATATTTAAAAACAGTGAAATATTTAGTCCGATCTAGTAACAAGAAAAATTGGTCCCTTAGAATACTTTATTTTTCTTTTTTTCTATATTTATCATGAAAAAAAAAACAATGAGAAATCATTTGATAATATATATCATCGATTTAAAAAGAATTTATTTTTTTTCATAATCGAGCGTGACGAAAATAAACTCATCTGAAATTCTATGAAAATATGATAATTGACGTCGACATTTTCTAAAAGCTTGTCAAACAATGAAAATAATTCGATAAATAATAACCATTTTAAAGCCTGTCTACGGCGAACACTTGTTTTTCTTTCTAGAGCACCTTTTATAGAGGATATTAGAGAAAAATGACGATAATTCCCTATAGTGTCAATCTTTATTTTTAGACGTAGAACCCCTTGAAATTTAATTTAAGAAAGAAAAAAGTTGATTGAATTTGATTAAAATCGATTTGTTGAAAAAGTTTTTGTTTTCAAATGAAAATTTTCAATAAATAAGATTATCTTCTGATATTGAATTCGTTTAATTGATTTTATCAATATTCAATGAATATATTTTTTTTCTCAAAAATTTTCAAAATCGAATTAACAAAAAAAAAACGAAGGAAAATATCTGATCAAAGATTTTTATTTTTATTCAAACAAATATTATTATAGAATAAACCAAAGACATTTTATTTGTCTTAGTTAACTAATTAAAATAAATCTTTATTAATATAATATCAATTTAATTCTTGAAATATTTCGTTTAAAAAAAAAAACATTTTTTTTTCTAAAAAGTTGAATAGAATTTTAGAAAACAAAAATTTTTTAATTTATCATTTGAATTAACTTTCATAATGAAAATAAATCATAGAAATTAATAGGATAAAAAGGAAAAAAAACAGACGATGTTGTTGTTTAGAATAAATTGACAATAAATCGAAGTAAATCAGATGGAATTGTTGAAAATAATGATAAAAAACATATTAAATGAAGTCCATATACAATGTTTTATCGTAAATTGTATGAATATGTCTTATCTCATCTTGATCTTATTTGTTATCGTTTATATGGATCTCAATCAAATAAATTTGAAAAAATCATTTGGAATTTATTTGAAAATTATACTCAATTATTATTTCGTTCACGATTAATTCAAGTATATAAATCAATGCCAAATTCGAAATTAAAAACAGTTCGAAGTGTTTTTATTCGTTCAATTAACAAATATGATTTTTATTGAAAATGAGATTTATATTCAATTAAAGATATTTATTCTTTTTTTTTTCTTCAAGATAAAAATTCATGTTTAACACCATCAAAGGATATATAATTGGTGATATAACTAGTTTTTATAAAGAAATATTTCTTAACATTCCGAATCTAGATAAAAATTTAAAAGAAAATCAATTAATTGATCTTCCTTATAGTAATAAAACATTTGAAAATATTAAATCAGGACATGTTAACGTAAATATATCTTCAATTAATTATTCATCAAATAAAATTCAAACAAATTCAACATCGAATGTTTTATCATCATCGATTCAAGTAGGTAACCTTTTTTTTTCTTTTATTATTGATTAAATAATATCATCAAGATTTATTTCTTAAGAAAATAATATTGATTATTTATTGTCAATTGTATAATTAAGTATTTATTTAATATTATTTCGAATCAATATTGATCATGATAACTATATATTAATTATTATATTCAACAATAATAAATATATATACAAGTTATTTAATCGACAATGAATTAAAATATAGACGATATATCGATTCTTAACAAGATAATTCATTAAAAAACAAAAAGAAAAAAAAACAGAAGTCGAATTCTCTATTGAATTTTCGATATAGAATTTTTCTTTTTAATAAAATCTACGTTGGAATTAAATCTCTGATTAGATTTGAAAAATTTTCATTAAAAAATTTTAGTCAAATAAATAAAATCTTAGTTGAATTAATCGAAATAGAATTTATTTATTAGATTCTTCTCTTTTATATAATATAAAACAAATGAGAATATTTGTCTACAATTAAATAAATGCATAAGAACCATTTTTTTATTTCGACCAATTTTATTTAACTTAATTGAATATATTATTCAACATCATATTGACATATAATAATATAAAGTTTATTTATTTATTCAAACATTTGTTTTTTTCTCTCATATTATGTAAATATATGAAATAAATAAATATTTAGTAAAATAGTTGTTAGTTGACCTATTCAAATAAACAAGTAATTAACATATTAAATAAATTAATAAAATAATAATATTATTTATAAAATTTGTTAAATCTAATTGAATTGAAATTATATGAATCATATTGAAATTCTTTTCTTTTTTTTTTAAATAAATAAATTCTAGGTGCAAATAATACAGTACGAACGGCTCGAACTCGAACTGAAGATGGTAAACTTTTAACAACTATTTCAACAATATCAAAAATAAATAATTCAAATGATAATCAAGATAATATTCTTATTAATAGAAATGAAAAAAAATCTGTTTTTTTGGTCAATTAACAAATAATTCGATTAAAGGAACATTTTCTGATGATTCAAATTCAAATTGTTTAACAAAAAAGTTTTACAAATTGAAAAAGATCGACAAAAAATTGAAGAATATTGACTTTTTCTTTTTTGTTTTGATTATTCTATATTTGACATTTATTAACAAATAAATATAAGAAAAAAATAACAGTTTGCTAATTTAATATGTATGGATGGATTGTTCCAACATGAATAAGAACTCTAATCTGTGATCTATCCTAAGAAAAAAAAAACAGCTGATTTAGTTGAAGAGTAGCAAGAGGAGATCAAGGAAATGTTATTTGCCGTTTTATTCACACATATTTTGTACCTTTATTACCATCTATACATTGTCCACATGTTGGTTCAACTGGAGGAGGAGCATGTACTGATAAAACAATCGACTTTTATTATAATCAACCAAATTTTATGGCTGTGCTCATAGATAATAATAATAAAATAAAATTATGTTCTTTTTTTTTTCAATTTAAAGTTTAAATAATAAATTGATATCATTCATAAATAATTACGCGAAAAATAAGATGTAAAACTGATTTGGTAATTCGACTTGATAACTGTGCTTCTTTATTAACTTAACATTCAAATACCTGTTAATATATATGTATCTCTTTAAAATCATAGAAATATCGGAATGTTGAGATATGAGGATGCTATTTGAATCTAATTTCAATATATTTATTTGTCAGTTGGTCAAGATTTCCTACAAAGTACCTGTTGAGAAATAACTATGTGGAAAATAAATATCATAAATTCAAAAAGACTTACATCATTATATAATCATAGAAATCACAATTGTATAAGCAATGATCATATCATGATATAAAATAAATGAAAGTTTCAATCATCTTTAAGAAAGTATAGTTGACAGTAGTGTCTTATTAGTTTCTGTA